TCGATTCCGTAACGAAAGGCATGACACGCGATAAAAGCCAAAATATGTAGCTGATTTGCCTTAGCACACAGTTTTATTTCACGGGTGCGAATATTTTCATACCAATTCTTGCCCTTCTGTATTAATTGAACTTAACCCTACGTCCTAAAAAATGGAAACGACATGTTTGCTAGCAGTCCTCATGGCCTGCTCAAATAGGGACATTGTAGTGGCCCAAAACGGGGACGGCCCCGTTTTGAACGATAAGTCAGAACTCGAAGCAAAAGAACAAGTAAAAATTGAACTAGTGGAGCTACAACAGCATATACTTTCTCGCAATATCACAATGTTATCGTTACATACTCAGGGGCATCCATATATTGCTTTATTAATTTCAAATATAAATTTTGCGAAAATCTCTAATTTTTACAAAAAAAGTACCTTTTTTAAAGAGGTAAATTTGTATAGAATATTTGTCCCCCTTTGACGTCGCTTAAGTTGATCAAGAATTTTTTGCGCCTCCCAGAATACATCCTTCTTTTGATCACCCTCAGTATAAATTTCTTCAGGCAGAGCCATATCTTTGTAATTTGAATGTAGAGCTTGATTTGCATCAGAGTGATCACTCCAACGTCTTTTTGAAAGATATTTCAAAACTGCGTTATTCGACTTTAGATTCAGTGTGAGAAAATGCCAACGATCCGAGGTCAAAACGGAGAAATTGTAAAGTTGTTGTAGGAATGCAAAACAGGCGGACAACTCATTACCCCTTCCAGCGGCTCCTGAACCCACAAGAGCAAAGAATGAGCTGAGACCTTTGTATATGCCAGTCATATTTGCCACATTGCCGTAGCTTAGTCGTCAACAATCCAGCACATGAAGACCTAATATGTGTAATATGTAACGAGTAGCTTGTTCAGTTTGAACTTCTTTATGCCCAACACTAGTAATAAATGCAATGAAGTGCTTTACTGGATCCCCGTTACCAACATTTCTGAGGATAAAATTGAAAAAATAAGAATCCATATTGATAAAGTAAACTTATCACTGCAGAAATTTGGAGTATTTGCAAAAGAAGTCAGTATTGATAAGCAGATGGTCCTCTATTTTGGAAGACAGCTTCAAAATGTTCTTGCGTGGAAAACCCATTATATTCGCGTTCGAACTCTGGGTGCTGTGTTCTTCTTCTGGATTACCTTTCAAAATCTATCCATACTGTCAAAAGATCGGATAAACAACTGGACAATAGAGTAATAATGAATTTGCTAGAAAGTGTTGAGAACCCATCAAGTCATATTGTATTTATGGACTTCTATACTTCCTACGATTTGTTGGCTAAACTGAAAATCCGAGGGTGTCGAGCTACTGGGACAGTGAGAGAAATGCGTCTTAAGAAATGTACATTGGATGAAATGAAATATTCAGATAAACTAGACAGAGGTATGTATGATATCCAGTGCGCATACCCGCCATGACGAAAAAATTTTGGCTGTCAAGTGGAAAGACAACAAAGTAGAGAGCCTTGCTTCAAATCATGATATGTGACGAGAGAGCCTTGCTTCAAATCATGATATGCCCGAGATGTGACGAGCAAAGCGGTACAGACAGAAAAAAGAAGAAGAAGAAGAAGAAGAAGAAGAAGAAGAAGAAGAAGAAGAAGAAGAAGAAGAAGAAGATATGTGCAAATATCACAGCCTGCTCCAATTTCAAACTACAATTCGATTATGGGAGGAGTAGATTGTTGGATCGTTTTATTTCCCACTACAGGCCCGTTCTTGTAAGATCAAACTACGCTATTCTTTTGAATTGTATAAACCCGGTAAGAGTTGCAGCATGAATAATGCATTATATTATTTCTCCAAGTGATAAACTGGATCAGCAAGAATTCACGAAACAAATTGTGGAATGGTGGCGTAACATCCCTCAACACCAAGATCACGACTCCGTGGAACCATTACATTCCAAGCCAGGACTGGACCAGGTCATCACCTCATTCCTGCAGAGAAGCAAGGACGTTCCAGTTTGCAGAAAGAACACTAGACTTATTTGTGTAAATAAGAGCATAAGGACAGAACGCGTGGTTATTTTTTCAATACATTTTAGACATCTCTAGAAGTTTTTCTTGTTACTAATTTTTATTTTTCCTGCACTTATACCTTTTTTTTTCTCTGGGACTATTTTTTCGGGGGTGGTATGCCTCCCCTCGATCCGACACTGCGATTACGTCAGTAACGTATCCAACAGCTTGAATTACGCATCTGACTTTGTTTCCAATCTGAATTTGTTTTGATAAAAATGTTTACGTTATTTTTACTCTCCTTTACACGAACGTATATACTGAGGAACATACGTAGTATAGGGAAAGTTATGTAATGCTGCAGAAAATCGATATCAAGATTTTAACTGAAATACGTTTTTGGGTCCCCTGATACGGGAAAAGTTCCCCCCCCCCAAAACGTCCGTCTTGTGTACGTGAACACTATTAGCGCCTAAACCATTCATAGGATTTTTTTTCCAAATTGAAGAAACCCTTGTCAATCTGGCTCGAATCGAATCATTGAGATGTTGAAAAAATTCTTTAAAATTTGGGTGTACTTTACATTAAGACCTCCGGACATTTTCAAGTTTCACAAAAACAGCTCCAAATATTTTCTTTAAATTTCTTGCAATAATAAAGTAAAATATACTTATAAAGGTGGCATATGTCAGATTTTCAGGTTTAACTCTGAAATTTCAAAAATTTCAAAATTTTTCGAGCGTCTTGTAAGAACTACAAAATGGAAGATAGAGATTATTCCTTCAATAAAATTTGTTCTCTATAGTGAGTTCTTTCATTAAGGTCATATACATTTTTTAGAAAATTGTAGTAGTTTTCGCGCAATATTGCGAGCAATATGTACAATAAAAAAATACAAAAACCAGTTTTTCTCAAAAACGGCTCCAAATTTTTCTTTAAACTTGTGGTAGGGAATGTGCTAAATGCACTCTAGAAGATCACATAAAAGCCATATTGCTCTATTTTTTGTTTTTTCAAGAATTACAAAAAAAGTAATTTTTTGACTTCTCTCGCGATGTTAATATTTACATTCGCGTCAATTTCTTTACATTAAAGCATTTATGAGTACGTTTTTTAAAAATTTTTCTTCAAATAAAGTGAGACAAAATTTCCCGAAACTCGACAGTTTTCCGTGGAAATGAGCTCAAAATTCCGCATATTTAGAAACGCTTAAACTCCATTTTTTCTAAAACGGCTCCAAATTTCTTCTTCAAACGTTTCCTAACAAAGTGCTAATTGCACGGTTTAAGATGCACGCCATTAATATGCACATTTGCAGCAATTTGTAAACACTATTGTATTTGTGACTGGAAGGGCTTGAAGTGACGACTTATTAAGTTTTCGAAAACGCAATGTGAAAAGAGGTTCAAATTTCGAATTTACAGAAGCGCTTAAATGCCATTTTCTTAAATACGTCCCCAAATTTTTCAATGAAAATTACCATTTGGGCGATGTTTTACTATTCTTTAATATTTTTAAAGTAATAATTCGATTCTACTATTAAGAAGTCGATTTTTTTTTTTTTTTTAAATGTACTTTGGGCGGCGATAAATAGGCAGCTGGCAAGTTTCGGGTGAATTTTCGGCAGAAGGACTCTTATTACAAGGCTCTGATTAACAAAAAGTGGATAAATCCAGTTGCTAAATTTAGAAAAAACCTTCCAACACTTGGTGGAACAAGAATCTGTTTTGTGGGTCCTTGAAACCGAAAAACGGCAAAACGTTTGTCGGACGGATTAACGTTAGAGGCTAAACCGGTCAGCCGATTTTCTCTAAAAATTAATATTCCTCAATAGATCTGGCTGATGGTACGTCCCCTGAATATTGAAACGAATATTTCAATTTTTGGGGTACTTTACATGAAGCACGTGAGACATTTTTCAAATTTTCAAAAAAATGGCTCCATTGGTTTTGATTAAATTTTTTTGTTAGTGAGAAGAACATTTAAGAGAATGGTTTAGGTCTCATGTTCGTTGAAAATATTTTCGTAAAATTGCAAAATAAAAAAAAATTACCGTCTTTCTAGAACTAAAATATTGAAGATAGAGATTTTCCGTTAATGAAATGTTCCATAAACATAGATTTTGAAAAAAGGTCATACAATTTTTCTAAAATTTCAGTACTTTTCTTGTTATTTTGCTTGAAAATAGGGCAAACAATACACGCTGTTTTAGCACCACTTATTACTTAAAAGTTTCGCGAGAAGTTAAAATTAATAATTACAGAAAAAAATGGGGCGGGGGGGGGGGAGAATTCCCACATCCGACCTTGTGGATTCGCGCATGTCTTGGCGCTATATCTATTTCAAATTGAAGGGACCGCGATAGTCATTTCGATCGGGACTATCAATTTAGCCGTTAGCGTTGTTCAGTTTTGTCATTGTCAATTTTTCGGTATCAATGATCCACAAACGTGGCTCCTAATTATAAAATGTTATGATATGCAATGTACTACTTATTGGACGATTTATCCACTTTTTTGGAATCAGGCTCCCACAATACGTGTTTTACTGTCGAAAAATCCCATTTTTTTCATCAGTATTAAAATTCTTTCTTTATATACTGTTCGTAGTAAGTGAGAAACGACAAAAAATACTGAAAGTTAACTGGGTACATGTGGTAGATTAAAAAGTGTAATTTTACAGTAATTCATTAATTACTTTATCTATTTTGTCAATTTGATTTAAGGTCATCTAAGAACAGTAGCAACTGTGTGATGTGTAGTGAGATACAATCTACCAAAATGAATATAGAAAAACACACACACCCCACCCCACACACACACACACCCCACCCCCCACACACACACACCCCACACACACACACACTCTCTCTCTCTGTCTCTCTTTTGGTTTTGCAATATTAGGTACAAGTATTCCCACAAATTACGTTAACAAAACTACAAAACTTCACATTCTAAATCATATAGGATCTAATGGAGGATGTTGAAATCTAATAAAAAGCAAATTTTCAATCGTATTTACATCATTTATTCAACTTACAAACTGTTCCCAATTAATGTATCTATTAAGAGCACAAATCCATTGTGCTGGACATACCAATCTCTTGCATGCTGTCACAGGCAGTAAAGAATTCTCTGATATTAATTCACGTCGCACACAAATTCATGCAAACAATTTAAATCATGGTAAAGAGAGGGAGAATTTACAAAAAGATGTCAAACTCAAGAAGATTTTCCTCTTGAGAGCTTCGATGCAGCACTAATTATTATATTATTTACAAGTATTTTTAAGCACCAAATTTCTTAAACTTTCACAATTAACTACCATCCGTGATCAATCTTGTGCTACATCTACTCTAAAATACATCACAGCATCGCAGCCTTCGTACACGTGAAATGATCAATCACTGTAAAACCAATTTCGCCTGCTGCCGATGCTCTGGAATTGTTTTAACCCTACAATAAATAAATTATGTCTACAGAAATCTTCTAAAACAGTTAACAAACACCACATGTGTTTAGACATAAATTATAAGCAAATCCTACAAAATTAAAAATAAAATTAAAAACATGAATGAGTAAAACCAATAAGCCACTTAGCTGCAAATAGGCTACATACAAGCAGAGGACTAGACGTTTAGCTTGTAACTCAACTAGTTAAAACTATTTTGGGAGTCCTGGTGTTATGATGTATTTTCTTCATTATTTAGTGTATCCCTTTGCCAATAGTCCAATACAAATTTGCCATTTATCCTCATCAAAGTGAGAACTCGTGCTTCAGCATACATATGTATCAGCCAATAAAATTTCTAAACTAAAATTAGTTCAAAAAAGTGTCATAATATTATTCACAGGGTGCACACTCTCCAACAGTCTTTGTCATGCTGTAAGGAAGAAATTTCTTCGCTCTTGACTTAGAAAATGCTATTTTGTAAATTTGTTTGTTCATCACGTTCTCTTCACAGTGACAGTGTTTCTTTAATTAATTTTTTCATTGTTGTGCCTACAGAAGTGTTCGAAGGACCCGAAGTGGTAAAAGATACCTGCCAAAAGTAAAATTATGTTAATGACATAAACATTGTATGAATGTTATTATTTAATTTCTGACCTATCTTACTTTAAATAAGTAAGGTTGGACGTCTGGGTATGAAGTATCAAAGATGAGATCCAATTCAGACTGGTTAGGCATTTTGGGGACGTATTCATGCCGGTTCATAACCTCGGCTATGTACAGAATTTTCTCTGTCAACATATCCCCTACTTTTTCACGACATACTTGTCGTTCTGAAACAAACGAATAAACATATTTATACTACTTGTAACAAAATAATAAACACACAAATTCATACTTCAGAAAATATATTTATCTTGAACAAGAAAAGAAATGGCAGCAACAACAGAAATACACATTTTCTCTGCAATTATTGATTATTCCTTAGGAACTGAACTCATAAAAATATTCTGATGTAATGACACACTGTAATTTAATCAACCCCTTAACAAATAGATGTAAACATATTTTCTACGATTATACTTTTACATGATCATGTCATAATTGTGTAGTCTAAACAATATCATAACCTTATCTAAAAGGTTTTAAAATGAATGTAATATATTTTAATTGATGTAATTAAATGCAAATTACTTGAATAATTCTCTTTAAGCCAGACAAAATAAACAAACATGGAGAGAAAAAACTGACATAATTGACAGATTTTTCACTTAAAGTTCCAAATATTTAGGGTAGCCATCTTTGCAATTTCTACCCTAGTTCTGCTTTATGACCAATATACTGTTTCATAACAGAACGTAATGTACATTTTATTAACTGAACATACATTTTGTAGTAAAATACGAAGTCCATAAATAAAATTATAAATGATCTGTAATGGCACTTTTGATCACCATTTGGCAAAGTTGTATGTTTGAAATTGAAGCAACAATACACTCCTTTCCGGTTTATATTAAAACAAAAATACACAAATGTGTTATTTCAGAAGACCCTTGAATTATAATTCAGAGATCACAGTCCACTAAACAAATCACTTGAATATAACTACCATGTTCATTGTTGAGTTTGATCAACTCCAAACGAACTGTCCACACTTCCCAAGGAATGCACTCTGGCTGGAAAGGCCATCTATTTTTTTTCTTCTGAAAAAATTCCAGAGATATTTGACCTGAACCAGGTCCATCATTTCCCCTGAGAGCTTCTGAAAATTCTGAAATTTCCTTCTTCAGATTTCTGTCAAGGCTTTCTGAAGAACAGCACACCTGAAATTCCCATGTGTTGATTATTTTTTTTTTCATACGAAAGTGTAGTAGTTTATTATTGATTACAAGGAAAATATAGAAAAAATACTCACATAAGTGAAGTCAATGAAATCGCAGTCCACATCAGTGTAACCAACAGTGCCCACAGAATAGCTGCCTTCTTGCTTGTAATGAAATTTTCCAAGAGATCGATGGAAGAGGACGGTGTGAAAAAGACTTGCTACTGCCTCATCTACTTGTCGTCCCTCCACCGTCTGTTAAATTCCAAATATATATTTACGTATATATAAATGATATGTAGCTCTTTATAATTACTTATCAAATCTCTAAAATATCACAAGGCAATCCATAGTAGAAGTAAATACTTATAATAATGGTTTTCATTTTTGTTATTTTTTCGCTTTCACACAAAATGGTTCCAGATTAAATATAATGTAAAAATATTAACTGCTAGTTACAATTATTTCTAATTTTATTCTAATTCTAATTTAACAGTAACAGAGCATACAAAACGAAGATAAATTATCAACAGATGCGAATTTTAGAATATATCCAAGCTATCTCTTTCACTCAGCATCTAAGTGTACATTAGACATTTTTATAATCTGATAATTCATTCTTCAGAAATACCAAAATTAAACCAAAGTAACAAAACAGAATAAACATACTCTTGCAACTCTTTATTATTTTATACACCTTTCAATAACTATAGAATTCATTTGAATGAAAATAAGCTATACATAATAGCACATTTATATATGTACTATTAAATGTTATTACAAAGATAGGACACACTGGTTCCTACATATACACTATTTCTTATTGCAAGCCAAGTTCTTTGGCAATTCACTATGAGGGAACAATGATAATTTTATTCACTATCATCCGCAAACAAGAATACATGTCTCCAGAAACAAGAGTCCCCAAAAGAGAACATAATTGCAACTGATGTTTTAAACATGTGCTTAATGATTTATCTAATCAAGTGTGAAAAATAATTGTTTACATAAATATCTGTGCCTATCTACAGTTTTGAAATACAGTCCCTTTGAGAAATAGTTTCATACTTTTCAATACAGACAAAAATTGAATAATGCACTCACCAATTCAAAAGTCTGTGACCTCGCATTCATGTTTCCTATATTTGGGCAGTACCTTCAATTGACAAATCATGTCTTTAAGGTTCTAACTTAATAACGTGTGTATATACTTATGTGACATGAGTAACTTCTTCCAACAGATGTTGGAACATTCTGTCGGTACATCTCTCACTCCTCCTGGGCGCAATTTCCAATTTGTGCCTCACAGAGTCAGCTGTTCTTTGTTTACAGTTACTGGTAACCAAACATGAACAATGATAGGAACTCATCACTGATAAAACGGAAGCGTGCTTCCCTCAAAGAGAGACTTATGAATCCCAACTGAACAGAATGATTCTCCCCATCACCAAATCATTTTGTTGGCGACAGTAACATAACTCTTCGACAGGTGATCCACAGCTCTAGTCATGATATAAACATCAACCTATTTCATGGTGACACACACTGCCCTACTGCGCTTGGTTCATTCTCAGTCCAGCTGACTCGTGGTGGGCACACGGTAAACCAATCTTCGTATAAAAACCCCAACGTAGAGACGAACCGCTACGATTTGAAAACCCCGTGTAGTCATAATCTAATGATTGTTAACAAAAACAGGTATGATAGGTTACTAGAAATTCACGTTTTAATTGAACCATATCTATTCGTAAAGCCTATTTTCTTTCCTATTTGAGCATGTTCTGATACTATTTTGTCCTTCATGTTGGCAATGATGCACAGATCGGAATCCTGATGATAATGGAACATATCCTTCAGGCGCTTCCACGTTTAGATGGTTATTCTCAGCGATTCGCTATAACCAACCAAACTCCTTTAATCGGCGTGTTTCGAGTGCTGTCGGAACAGTTCGGTGGTACTGGATGGTTTAGCCCGGGAAGCAAAATACTGGATGTAGTGCAATTCATTAATTACCTTAAAATCCCTTTTTAACTTTTATCAGGTCAGTTGATATTTTGATTCTTTTTGTTTACCTGGAATAAACATCAATCTTTTGATTTTGTAAAAAATATCGTATTGCGTCCAAACTCAAACGTTCACAATCCTCGAAATAGAAAAGATTTTGAAAGAATAAAAGACGATATCTTGAAATATAAGATAATTTGAAGTACATGAATATTTGTAAATTTATTTTCAATTAATACTTACTTGACAGAATTGTCACGTATTTCATGTTCGTGTTACGTACATTAGAAAACAGTTTCTGGGGATCCTCTGCCTTTTAATATTGTCAATATGCACAAGCATATGAATAGCAACATATAAAAAAATCTTCATAAATGTGCCATACAATATCATTTCAGCACGAGGTAATTCTAACTTGTAACATCCAAAGTTATGGGCGCCTAGAAGAGGTGGGAGGGGGGGGGGCAACTTGCCTCAGGTCCCTACTTAATTGGGACCCGAATTTTGTTTATTCCAAACAAATATGTTTACTTCTAAGTCAAATTAACCGCTATAAGTTATCTCCGATGTCTGGAGAAAAGAAATCTGTGTATGTAGTGTAAGGGATAGGGAAGGCGGAACTTTTGTTTGAAATATATTGATACATTTTGTCAAGAATTGTTAAAATTATGCAGTTAGCCTGCTGTGTTAGCAAAACGTGATACTGTTATTTAAATTAACCATTTTTTTGTAAATAAATAAATAAGAGGCCTCTGTGGATCTACTGCCCCAGGCCTCTTGTTTTTTCTGAGCGCCACTGTCCAAAATATAACTTGAAATAAAAGGTACTTGATCAAAACCGATTTAAAACAACATATTTTCTTAGCATCATAACCGTCTAAACAAGCTTCTTAACTTTGATTTTCATTGTAATATTTAATATGTAAAGTCGAAAACATACTAATAAATAAAAAAGTAAAACGGTTATTATCAGGAAGATCTATTATGCAACGTTTTCATTAGTTATCATAAGGTAATCGTGGATACGCTTGAAAAATATATTAGTTTATACGAAAGAATAATTATAATAAGATGAGAACATTACAGATTCTTTATAAACTTTACGAGTTTAAAAGTGAATGAAATTCCATTGTGTTCAGGACTTCATGAAAAAAAAGTAATTTTATGCTCATTAACGTGATTATGGTTGTTGTAGACTTTCGGTTGCTTTGGTACAATATTATCTCAAATTGTTGTAGAATTGAATCTCTATAAGATTACCTAGAAAATGTGGTTTTGTTTAAAGGAAAGGAAATTATATTATATCCGTGTAAGACGGGCGGATCCAGCCGATCATTTTGGAGGGGGCCATCATTGTTTTTTGTTAAATAATAATCATTTGATATTATATTGAACATTATTACTGTTGTATATTATGATACTATACAACATTATTTTTACCTAATTACATAAATCTAACATAAATATTTTAATCATTTTTGCCAAATAAAGGAAAGTAACATTCTAAAATTCTAGGCATTTCGGGGGAGGCCATGGCGCCCATGTCCCCTGTCCATCGGATCCGCCACTGGTGTAAGAACATCTCTAGGAACCAGAGGAGGATTAACAACATGGTCGCCTGTCGGCACGCGAAAAATTGCCGCCTATTTTTTCGAATGACCCATGAAAAATAATGTATATAATACGTTTAATTTGTGTTTAATTGGACAGAAATAATTTATACGTGTTATTTTTTTACGGGAAAATAATTAACTTTTAAATCACATATTTTGATGTTTAAAAATAACATAAATTCATCATGTTTTGGGTTTTTTCGTCGTTATGCGTATTTATTATTCTACCGTTGTTCTATCTTTAATCCTTGAAATTAAGTCGATGTTCACATTTAACACTAGAAAATATGAATGAAATAAAACATCTGCGAGCAGATTATCAAAATTACATATTTTTAAATATGTACAAGATTTATAAAGTGAATATTAACACGACTGGTAGGAATACGACCCGTTAACTGAGAGACTTTCAGAACTGAGGGTCATGCGCCTTTCTTAATTAGCAGTAGATCAAAAATAAAATGCATTATGGATCTGCAGACTTTATGCCTAGTATATACGTTAGCATGAAAGCATTGGTACGGGTTGTTACGGAAGGGGGCGACTGCGTTCGCCTAGTGACCCTAAATTCTACGTTCTTAGTTTCTTTGTGAGTTATGTAGATAGTTTTGATTTATTTAGGGCTTAACGCCTGCTAGATTTCTAAGAAATATTACAACAAATATTGTTACATTAAAACACATTAACATAAGAATGAAAGAAGAAAATACGCAAGACGCGCAACACAGATACATTACATATATATTTTACATAATCGTTTTTTTTTCTCTCCTAAATGTTTTTCACTCTTACGGCCTGCCCTAAATGATTCAGTAGGTAAATTGTTCCAGTCATTTATTGTTTGGTTTTCAAAGGAGAATTTCCCAGTATCTCATCACTGTCATCGTGTACAAGTTTTGAAATTATGATTCTCTCTTCTTAAATACATCGGTTTCAGTAGCGTGTTCCGAATTTTATTTCCACACAGGGAAATCTACACACGCCTTATAAAGTGCTGGTATAAAGCTCTAAGTCTAGCCATCTTTCTGCGATTTGAAAGCGGTCGTAATTTATTTTGAGCGAGTCGGTTACCAGAGAATTCAGAGACTCTTTCTAAATTTTGTCTAGCTCGTGAATTTGGCCCAGTTTGAAGAGATCCCAACATATAGCCTCATAATCTTGGATAGGGCGCACAAGGGAAGTGTATGCCAGTGTTTTAACTATTTGTGGACTATTGTTTCTCTTAATTAACCTTAATAAAAACAATAAGGTGACGCCTAGCCGAATTCGTTTACTACGCTCCGTGAAGTCACGGAGGTTAAGTGAATTCGAGACTCGCGGGTTCCTGATTGGGTAACCGGCCTTAAACTAAGGGATCAGACGGCGTCGAACCCCTGGCCGAAAGCGTAAAAGGCACTGTAAGATTGCGAATTGACAAGACTTGACAAATTTAGTAATTACTCAGTAAAGATAGTAATTACTCTGCAACGAAGGATTACTCCAGGCAAATTGCTAAACGCCCAACAAGGGTTAAAGAAACGCGTTGCGTCATCAATGACGCAACAAATTTAACTAGTGGTGCAACAGAATGGCACACACTTTCCCGTATTAGTTTTCTATTTCCCTTCAGCTAGCTGTTGGGACTGGCCACATATTCTTGCCAGCTGCCATCTATCATCGCCCATATACATTTTTTTTTTAAATTTTCGGTTCAATAATTATAGAACGGAAATATTATATTATGAATATTAAAAAAAACAGTAAAACATCGTCCTAAATTGCAATTTTATTTGAAAACCTTGCAGCCGGTTTTAAGAAAATGGCCCTAAATTCGAAATTTGAAGCTAATTTTCGCAGAAAATGTTTGAGTTTTCGAACAACTTGATTTGAAGTTATTTTAAGTACTTTAACCCACAAAAGCAACGGTTTTTAAAAATTGCTGGAAATGAACGTATTAATAGCGTGAGAGACCTTTCAAAAAATTACATTGTGCGATTTTTGAAAAACAAAAACAACAAAATACCCCAAAATGAACTTGACGTCATATTAAAGAGTGCAATTAGCCCTTTCTGTTCGAAAAGTTTGAAGAAAAAATTTGGACCTCTTTTTGAGATAATGGCGTTTGAGCGTTTCCAAAAACGCGGAGTTTTGAGCTAGTTTTCACAAAAAATGGTTGAGTTGTCGAGAAAAATTATGACTTTAAAGCACATGTACTCATAAATACAGTAATGTGAGTAATATGCCGTTAATATAAATAATACCGACGTGAGAGACGAGTAAAAAAATACATCTTTTAATTTTTGAAAAACAACAAGAAAAGAATAGAGCTGTATGGCATTTATGTCATTGTACAGAGTACATTTAGCACTATCTCTACCAAAATTTAAAAGAAATACTTTGGAGCCGTTTTTGAGAAAACCATTTTTTTTTAAAAAAATTGCATATTTTGTTCGCAATATTGCGCGAGAACTTCTGAAATTTCCAAAACATGTACATAGCGTTAATGAAATTACTCACTACGGAGAACAAATTTTATTTGAAGGAATAATCTCTATATTCAATTTTTTAGCTGCAAAAAAACGCCCGAAAATTTTAAAATTTTTCGAAAATTCTGAGTTAACCCTGATAATCGGACATATGCTACCTTTATGAATATTTCTTCTCTATTCTAACAAGAATTTTAAAGAAAAAATTGGAGCCTTTTTAAGAATATTTTGAAAATATCCGAGGGGGCTTCATGTAGAGTATCCAAATTCTAAATATTTTTTTTTTCAAAATCTCCAAACCTTGACTCAAGTCAAATGGACGGGTTTCTTCAATTTGGAAAAAGTCCGACGTATAATTTAGGCGCTAGTGGTGTTCAAAGACGGACGGACAGGCGGACAGTCAGACAGACGGACGTTTTGAAGGGAAAAAAAGGAAAGAAAAGAAAATAATTTCGGTATCAGGAAATCCCAAAACGTGTATTTCAGTTGCAATCTTGAAAGCGATTTCCGCAGCATTACATAACTTTCCATATACTCCATATGTATTACGTACGTATACGGGAAAGTAAAATAAAACAAAAACAACAGAACATGTCTGATGGCATTAAAATCAGTCCATTCTGTTACAGCAGCGACCAACTTGAAATCTCAGTTCAATGTAATTGTAAATAAATATTACATGTAATAATGTTTTTTAAAATTGTGTGACAATGTAAATACTAATTTTTTCACCTAGTAAAAAGTAGAATGTTTACAAAGTAGATCGTGTATAATTATGGAAGTCGTTATGAGGATTCTTTTTGAAGTCCATTTTCATTATGCATTTAATTCTGTCAATGTTTACAGGAAATTCACTTCACGAACGTACATTGGTCCTTCATATTCCACGAACCCTTCGCGTTCGCGCAAGGGACGTGGAGCCGGCCGTGCCTTGCGAGCGAAGCCATTTCTGAACTGCTCTCGGGCCTAAACGGTACACAGGATTGCCCCAGATCATTATTCCCCGATGGATGTAACTGCGAATCAAGGCCCTGAGGATTTGAAACGGGTCTTTCTATTTTGGAGGTAAAACTCCTAGGACATTTTCAAAAATTTCTCAAAAACTGATCCAATATTTTCTTTAAAACGTTTGTTAGAATGGAGCAAAGTACCAAAGTTATAAATATGGTACAAGTGCGATTTTTTTTAAATCGCTGACTTTCCGAAATTTGTCAAAATTAGATTTTTCGACTGTCTCCAACAAACAATACCGAAGTTAGCCGTTTTATCTTAATACATTTTTTCTTCAAACTTAGATCTTTTAATGTCATGTTCTCTTTTCAATATGTGAGAAATAGTTTCGTCAAAATTTTGGGCCAAATCGTTCAAATCTCTAAAATTTCGAAAATTACAAACGTTAAAAAAAATTTTACGACTATATTGTTGAAGATGTTTTTCTCCAAAAACCGTAATTTATCAAATTAGATTTTTAAATTAATTCATGCACAAGTTGTTTAAAATATGAAAAGCTTTCATGTAATTTTGAGGAAAATTGTGACAATTTTCCACAAAGGTATAAACAATATTTTCTCTAAAGTGTCTCCAAATGTTTTCTTTAAAATCTTATTTGAGATAGAGCAGAATTAAATGAATTAAATGACATAAGTGACATTTTCTTTAACACTTTTGAATTTTCCAAAACTGAAGATATGTATTTTTTAAGAATGTGTCTGTGATTTAATATCATTCAACCCTCAAAATGCATCATGGTAGTGTAGTGGATACTATACACAGATAATAAAGCTTCACATTAGAGTTTAAATGCCGCCCAGGCAAATATTTTTCAGGGTAGTAACCATTCGCTGAGGCATGTGTTAGGTCTATAAGGTGATCCCTGACAGAAGAAACCCAAGCTGCCATTCTCTTGCTGCTCAGTTAGTTTTTTAGCCTATTTCATCTTATTGATAAGAATGCTCCTTTATTTACATCTTGTATCTTGAATTATTTCTTCTGTTGGGTGTATATATTATTTAGAACTTGTTGTATCCAGTGAATAGTTATTTCAGTGTGTCTGTGCCTAATCCTACAAACATCAAGTAATCATGAAACCACATTACAGTATTTAAGGATTTGTTCTCACAAATCTCTATTCCTTGTCAACTGTCAATTAAACTATATTACAAAGTTTTTATGACTTGTTCTTGTAAAATCTTTATTTATTGTCAACTATTATTATATAATGTAACTATGAATTTAATGGGGGTGTTCTTGAAATATCTTCTATTCAATGACATAGAAACTGGTTTATATTTTAATATCGTTGTTTTAATTCATTTGACTCCATTCAATGATTAAATTATGTCATTATTTACATTCTTTTTAGTCTACATTATTTTCATGTTTTGTCAATTTTATTATTGTAAATTTAAGTTTCACTTGTTTCCTATTTTTCAGTTTGATAAAAGTTGTTAATTTCCACATTGCTATCTAATAAAGACATTAATGTTAGATTAATCTAACTAGATTAACCTAATCATAGAAAGAGCTGTATACATGTCACTACCAAAATGATTTAATTCTTGAAAGAATTCTTCAAAGAATTAACTTCAGGATTATTATTTGGACACAAATTAAAAATTATTTTGCAATACATTGAAAAACAAACAGTCAATGGTTGTTCCAAATACTTTCTCCATCTTCTTTTCACCAAGTGAGTCAAATGTTACTTTACAGAAATATTTTAATGTAGATCAGGGGTTCCCAATCTTTTTCCATCGTCGACTCCCTCAAGCATGACCTATAGGCAAACTAGGCGATCGCCTAGGGCGCAAACCTGGGGGGGAGGCAGTTTTGATATGTTTTTTATAGTACATGTTTTAATAAACACATTTTATAATAAATTTTGACAATATCACAATCTATTTGAAATAAAATATTTTTTTCATGCTAAAATAGAAAGTGAATTTATTCTATTTTGCTCATTGTTGATCTTACGTATTTTTTTACTCACTTCAAAGCCAAAAACTATCTTTCAGCCAAACAATTTAACATAGGTGTACATAAATATATGCGAAAGGCGATGTCAACATGCAGAACTTTATATCTCTGTGAGTATAGTAAATCATATTTTACTTTTAAAAAATATTTCTGAACATTATTATTATTATTATTATTATTATTATTATTATTATTATTATTATTATTATTATTATTATGTTTTATTAGGGGGAGGAGGGGGGTCGCAAACATCTAGCCTGCAGTATGAGCTAGAATGCAAATAACGTAGTGCTGGCCCTGCCCTTACACTTTTCTCTAAAATAATGTATACTAGCAAAATATGTATTATTAGCATCAATAATGACACATATTTCATATAGTAAACATATAGTACTCAAAGAACATGAACGGAAGTTCTGAAAAACAATTATTGGAATTATGTTTAATATTATTTGTACTATTATAATTTTTAAATTTAATAATATAATCAAGTTTTCAGATTCCAAATCACAGATTCTGATTGCAACGAAGTTAAATTTTCATTCATATGAATGATATTAAATTCCGAAAGAGGCGCAAATTTGTACTTTATTATTCCATGAAACCATAACTTCAACAAATATTAATGTCAGAAAACAAATAATTATCAACTTCATTGATACTCTTTTTTATCAATGGCATCTTCATTATATCGTTCACATTTCGCTCTCGACGCCTAAATTAACCCTTGATCATCATTGGACCCCC